TACATATTTGTAACAATAATCTTGAATATGACCTTCTATTTATTTACTATACCTATGATAACTATAATTATTACCATCATTATGGCTATCCTCACAATAAGTGTGCCTTTTGCTATGATGAATGCTGTTATGACAACAGTACAGATCAATGTTTATCAATTTGTACAAATGATACTGGAGTACCCTTGAACAACTTAACTTGCATTAACTGTACAGAGTATTCCAATCATGGTATCGTATTGTTTATTGGACTAGAGCTAATACCAGTGACACTCATGGTAATAGTAATAATAATATTCAATATACAACTAACTAATGGATCAATAAATGCTTTGGTATTCTATTCTCAGTTGATAGCAATAATTTATTCTATAAATGGCATCAACAGCCCTGATTATTTTTTTGGCTATGTAAATGTTTATAGCAGAGCATTACGACACATACTGCTATACCAAGCTATATCTTCAATTTAGACTTTACTCCATTTCTATTTAATTATCCATTGTGTATATCAGATCATATGTCACCATTAGGAGCAATTTCCTTTTGATATGTGATAGGATTCTATCCATTGCTCCTCCTCCTCTTACTTTATGTTTGGATGACATTGTATGATAAAGGTTACAAGTGTGTAGTATTTGTTACTAGACCATTTCATCGTTCCATGGCTCGTTTCTGGAGTATGACTGGCATTGAACCATCTTTTACTCACTCTATAGCATCAATATATATACTCTGCTTCACTCAATTGACTGCCACTTCCTTTAAAATATTGAGTCTTACTCCTAGTGTTAAAAATGGCATTAATCATACAAGATTCTATTATGATACAATAAATACTTATTTTGTTGAGTTTGGTGCTTTGGGGCTTTTGGCAATCTTAGTGTTATTGTTTTTGATACTCCTACCAACACTTTGTATATTTTTTTATCGATTCAAATGGTTTCAAAAGTTATTGGATTGTTTACATTTGAGGAAACAGCTACTGATATCACTGGGTGATGTGTTTACTGGTCCTTATAAGAATGGAACTGAGAATACTTATGATTACCGTTTCATGGCTGGACTATACCTACTGACAAGAATAATCATTTTGAGTCTGCTACTTATTGGCTACAAGCTTGTGTTTGCAGTCCCAATAGCTCTATGCATTAGTTCTTTTCTACTAGCAGCAGTAGTTCTAATATTTCGTCCTTTCTATAGAAACTTGCATAACTTTACTGAATTTGTTATTGCTGTTCTTTTCACCCTATTCTTTAGTGCCATTATTCCAGTTTACATGATAATTGTTGGTGCAGTGCTGGTCTTCAATATTCTTGTTTTTGGAATAATAATACCAATTTATATGATGTATCATTTACATAAAATCATAAAAGCTTGTCGTTCCTATCATAAGAAGAGAGTCCCAGTGGTTCCTACAGAACAAGAACAAGAAAAGGACATCATATCATTAGATGATAATTGGCTTGCTGATCGTATGGAGAATCCACAAGAATACAATGAACGTCACTCCTGTGTAATACCTGATGATGTGCTACAAGGTAATAATCAATCAGTTATTACTACAACAGCTGAAGATTTGAAAAGACCACTGCTTGATACACAAAATTAACTAAAGATTAAGTTGAGTGTGTTCATTTATTAGCAGTGTGTTCTTTATTATGCAAAACTAGAGATTGTGTGTTATTAATGCTGCAACTTTGTGTGTTTTTGGTTAATTTTATTGCTTTATTATCTTGTTTTTTTATATTCAAATCTTTTATTTAAACTTCACACAACAGTACACAGTACAATATACTTCGAGTAATACACTCTCAGTGTTTCAATGTTCTCTCTTGTAGAAATAGAGGTAGGCATGATCTTTAGGTGGAGCCACAGACTCAGCTACTTTGTTGTCATTAAATATGATCCACTTGCCATCCTTCTTAATGTGACAGACATAATGACCAGTCATTGTTGAGGTACCCATATGACTGATGAATGCTATTAGACTGTACTCTGAGAGAGGGGGGAGAAGGTAAAATAGCAGATTTCTTCACAGAATATTTTACAGTGAAGTTGCAACTGATTTGAATGTTGATGTACTTGACTATAAATCCTTTAATCAAGCAAGTGCTGTTAAGTGGGTAGCATATTTTGATGTACAACTTGGGTGGAATTAGTGTTTAGGTGGTGAATGGTGCTTAATATTGTCTGATGGTACTGCATAACCAGAGAATAGACTAGCAAAAGCACTGGTAGGTATATAGTATGCATGATAAGAAGAAATAGACTCTGTTCCTTCTCAGGCTTATCATGCATATACTTTAATGGAAATGAGGATTACATGTAGGGGTTAAAATGTAAAGCTATTGAAAGACCAACTCACTTCCAGACCCATCACTGAACTGTTCCTCTTCCATTGGTTCTTCACCTTCTCCTTCTTCCATTTGTTGTAGTTCATCCATATGACTGAACACCCAGTCAGCAGCTCTTTCTACATTATTATCCTATTAATAATAAAAAGTATAATGAACAGTCATTTATTTAAAAATTGTAACTGTAGCAATTGTGTATTTACTTAAAAATAGAAAAAAATTTCAAGCTATGGTTAATTTTCACTGCATAAACTGATTATACTATTTATCATTTGATCACATTATTATTAATTCACTCACTGTAGCTTTCAATGCTTTCATAGCCTGTTCCCTAGTGAAACCCAGTGACATTACAATAGCAATGGAGTCTTCACTGGCCACACCTCCTTTATCAGCCCCACCCCCTGCTGACTTGACACTACCAGGAGGAACAAATGGATCCGTAAAATCTAAAATTAATAAAATATTAATAGTATTTTATTCACATGGTCTATTGGTAAAGGTACGTACCAGGGTCTCCCATGTGTTCCAGTACCCAGTTCATGGCTGGCTCTATTCCTATAAATAAACACACAAGATTCATTCCAGTACCAGTATATGAGAGTATGGGAACCTGCCTTGGTTCTTAGTGTGGTATATGGCTCTCTTGCAGCCTTCAATGTCAAACCCCATTCCGGCTAACTGTGACAACACACCTTCATCAATCTCAACTACAAAAACAACAACAAAAGTTATTAATTTTATCAAAGAATTTTGTAAAATTGAATAGAGTGTGTTCTATTACCTTCAGGTTGTGCTGGTCCAGATTCTTCAGGTAGTTCAACTTCTCCTGGTTGTATACCTCCTCCTCTTAGACTGGATATATCAAGAGACTCAGGGACATCAACTTCAACATCTAACGAGAGAGAGGGAGAGGGGGGGGGGAGAGTGAGAAAAAAAGAAAAGAAATGTACTCACCAAATTTGACTGGGACCCAATTCTCATCAAAAGCAAATTTCGCTAGCTGAACAACAAGATACTTTGGAAATGTCTTAAAACGATAAATCCTAAAAATAAAAACAAAATTATTACAAATACTAATAATAAATAAAAATACCTGGTCGCTGGTGATTTTGTTTTAAGTTCTGTCGAATAGAAGTCAGGAATATCAGTAGATGATGAATATTGTCCAAGACAAGATGAGAAAGAGACTTTAGCTCTCACTGCTTCATCATGATTACTATACACAAAAATAATTGCAATAATTCTTTGTGGGCATTTTCTAACATTTTCTTTTTCTCTGCCATTAGCTGTGCTTTCTTCTCTTTCCAAGCAGCCACTTCAGCTTAAGAAAGAAGATAAAGAGAGAGAGGGAGAGGGTAAATCATTAGCTACCTTGATTAGAGGCAGTTTCCATTGGAACTGGTAAAGTTAGTATGGAGTCTGGTCTAACAGAATAACGGACTTTACCAGAAACGACACAAGTAATCTTCTCTTCAACCTAATGCAGGAGTACAATCATCAGGGCACTACCATGCACTCTAGTTATGACACATGTATAATACCTGATACTTGAATAAATCAGCAACATTCCTTGTACCTCTACTAGTGTGCTATAGCAATAAAAAGATAAATAAAATATTTCTTATATAAAAAAATTATAATTCTCACCTCTGCTCTCTCTATGGCAGACAGAAGATGAAGGAAAAATTCTTGAACATCCTACAAAAATAGAAAAAAAATCATTATTATTTAATAAATATTAATCACTTGTTGTCTGTTGGAGCTGAATTCTCTGTGTCCAGTGCCAATGAGTGTTTTGAACATGTTAGGACGAATACCTTCTTGTTCCTTTTGTCCCTCTTTCTCTCCCTCTGGGGTACTACCCTCGGCAGGAGGGAGTGGTTTGGAATAATCACCAGATAACAATCCTCGGGCCAGTTTACACCTGACAAGGAATGAGGTCAAATATAATTATAATTACTAAAATAAATTAAATTTAAGTCAGAATAAGCTCAAACTTGCTACACAGCATAAGCACATCAATATGTATCAGAAAATGTAATAAAAATTGGGGGTAATTTTTTGGCCATTTTTCAGAAAAAACCCTGGGCTATAGTACAGGGATTTTTTCAGAAATTTGCCTGTTTTTAAAAATGACTGTAACTTGAAAAATTTAAGTTGGAATCAGCTCAAACTTACTACACAGCATAAGTACATCAATATGCATCAGAAAATGTAATAAAAATTGGGGGTCATTTTTTCGCCATTTTTCAGAAAAAACCATGGGCTATAGTACAGAGATTTTTTCAGAAATTTGCCTGTTTTTAAAAATGAATGTAACTTAAAAAATTTAAGTCGGAATCAGCTCATAATTGCTACACAGCATAAGTACATCAATATGTATCAGAAAATGTAATAAAAATTGGGGGTCATTTTGTACACATAAATTTACTACAACCAAAAAGTGAAATTCTTTATACATGATTCATATCTTTAATATTCATGGCTGCCATAGCAACAAAACATGGTTGTCATGTCAACAGCCTTCATTTAATAACCGCTCAAGGTATTACTGACATTTGAGTGTTAAAGTCTTTTGTTGGGTCTCCAGTTTGTCTTTTAAAAGTATCCACTGCAGTATCATAGTATCTATAAACACAAAGTAAGCCACACCCACCAACCACACCCACCTCTCCTTAAACTCGGGCAGTGCAAAGAGAACTTGCATGACGGAATTCATGTAGCAACTGTTACCAAGGTTCTGTAGACCAGTATAACCAGGACCGTAAACCAGTTTTAGTTCGTGGCCTGATTCCTGAATCACTGACCACTCCCCCAGTTTAATATTAGCATCTATTTGTAACTCAGTCATCGTCTTGTCAGTCTACACAAAAAGGAACTGATTAATAGAACTGGTTTGAAGGAAAATATCAGGATGTAGACATGATATTGTTCAAAATAAAAACATTTAAATGAATAAAACAAACTAGAACTGTTGGTAGACCCATCATGTATTACTGTACATATACATGTATTTATGCTATATATATAATGGAAGCAATAATCACACTACATTAACTATAAGTACTACACTCACTTTAGACATGATCATCATGTTTATTCCAAAGTGTGAGAGGTGTTCTGATAGTTTAGGATCCATCACCATTGAGTCTTCTTCATAAGAGTAGACATCAGCTCCTCCTGGAGTAATGGTACCCAGTTTAACTGCTAATGGGTACTTGGTTTCATTATAATAATCCAATGCATGATTGTTACCACCAGAACCTGCATAGATAATAATAGGAATATTGATTTGTCATAAATTACATAAATAAATTATGGTATGACGCATTCAGCTAGAAATACTATACCAAAACTGTCAATGCTTCAATTTGCATAAAAACTAACTGTTTTAGTGTATCTATGAAACAATCAGTAGTAGCTCTAATTGAGTTACAAATCATTTCGACATAATAGATTAATAAGAGTGCTAAATATAGTATCACATCACATGATCTCTAGTAGATATATAATCCAAGCATACAACTGACTCTTTACACATACTGGTAGCCCTAGCATCAATTACTGGTCCCTGAATCTGCTGTATCTCATGAGAAATGATGCTACCTAAAGTGGTTCTTGTCTCTCTTCTTTCTCTTGTTCTAGTATATTCTGCTGCTGGTTTGGAGTGTAGGATCTATGTCAGTTCATCTCATGGTATCAACAATACCTCTTGTTGGACTGGAGGAGTTCAAACACCTTGTGCTACTATTGATCTAGCTATACAAGGAACTGCTACTCTACAATACAACTGTTCATCAGGTATCCTTATCAACCTGTCTCCTGGTACATATACACTAGACACTACTAGTCTACTAGAGCAACAGCTACTGAGGAATAATGTGAGTATTATTGGTATGAGGGATGGTAGTAGATATGAAGAGGTTAGTATCACGTGTCTACATGTTTCGTCTTCTTCATATAACTGGTTGAGGTATATTGTATTTGAATGTGTCAGTCTTTATAATTGTAACAATGTTCCTGTTACATGTACTGAACCATCCTTTGATATTACTACACACAATCAACTAGAACAAGAGATTTGCAATAATCTGACTTTGAGTGCTCACTTTACAAATCTCCCTTTACAATGCGGTGACTATTATCGTTATGATGGAGCCTATCAATGCCAATATCCAAATTATTACCAATACTGTAAATGCGAATATCCTCAATTTACAGTTTCTGTCACTGATAACTGCATGTAATATGAAAACCTATGACTGGCTAAGTACTCTCAAAGTATATGTTAACGACTCGTATTACTGCAATGCAACCATCCAATATGAATCAATCAATTCACGCCTGAATTATTACTATAAATTAGGCACTTGTTTTGATGATAGTATTGAGGCTGGCCCAATCGAAACAACAGTATACATTGAAACACTTGGTCTAATCAGCATTAATACCACAGTAACAGTGAATATCAGTGCTACATGCGAATCTGACTAC